CAGCGCGGCGCGGAGGTGGGCTTGCTGCGGCGGCGCGCGAGAGGTCACCGCGGTGGCATTCCTCCCCGCGCGCTGTTTACGTGACTTAATGTACTTCATACGCCGCGGGTAAGTTAGGGCCGCGATAAGGGGGCGGCCGGAGGAGGGTCGCCGTAAAAGCCCCACGCTGGGCGCCTTCTAGCCCTCCCCTCATCCATTAACCTTTTTACTTTCTTCTTCCCTCTCTCTTTTAAAGCTTGTTATCTAGGCCACCCATGACCGACGAAAGATCTTCCCTCCCGGCTTCTCCCAAGGCCGCTTTAAACCAAATAAATTTAGCTATTAAGGGCCAAGATGTCTGACAAAAGATCGAAAGGTGTCTATCTGTGATCGCTTAAAGAAGCGAAGGAGAAGCTGGTGGTTCTCTGATCCCGATAAAGGCATTCCACACGGCGCCGGCCTCCCTCCCCGCGGCCTGGTTGCGTCCTGACACCCTGAGATCTCCGCTTCGCTGGCCAGATCTCCACCGGCCGAGCGAGACCTGCGTCCGTTGCCCTGGGAATGTGGAGGTCCCCAGGCGACCCGGCCTGGGCGTGCCGGTCCCCGGGGTCCTGGGAGCCGTGGAACTCCAGGCCGGACGGGGCTGGAGTCCCAAAACCGACCCCCCGCACTTGGCAGAAAAACTAAACCGAGCTCATTAGGACCTGAATTACTATCCCTTTTATATTATTTTTTGATGCTGAATAATTAAACTCGAGTCAATCCAGCCCTACCTTCCCACCCTCACTCCCTGCGGGTTTGCCGAGGGTCCTCGTTACTCCACATCGCTAGTCGTCGGGAACAGACCTTCTTTTGAACCCGGGTCAGAACCTGGTGGGTGGAACAAGGCAGCTAAATTAGACTGAGGCTAACGGCGAGGGTGTGGACTCCGAGAATAAGAGCGTGCAGGTGGGAGGCAGAGGTTCAGTCATTCAGGCATCCCCAGGTTGGGTTTGGTTATAAAGTGTGGTATTTATTATCATTATTAATTACTACTGGCATCACTACACAAAGCCTAGGGCTGCCAGCTGGGCCGAGGCCCTGCCCCTGGGGGGATCCCTTCCCTTTCACTAAAGGTGAATGGGAATGTCCACTTTCCTGATCCAGGACTGGGAAGTGGTCTTGGGAGTCAGGTGCTATGTTTTGGGGGTTTCTGCACTGAGTCATTTCTTTTCCCCTTAGGCAGCATTCCCCCATACTGTAAACACACACCTAAGCCTTTTCTACCTCTTTGCAGTATGGGTGGATAAGAACCTCAGTGTCAGAGACTGCTGGCTTCCCTGCAGTAGGGATTCTTCCTGTATCTTTGCCGACCCCTTATGCGCTGTGGTGAAGCTGCAGACAGGACTCTGAATTCCAGAGGCCAACCAACATCTTCAGTTTCTGTCACCTCTTGCTGGGCCCCGGAAGTGAAATCTGCCTCTCTTTTCTCATTGCCCCACTCCAAATAAGGTGAACTCCAAAACCATTCACCTTATCTAATCCTCCCCCCCCCCCCGCCGCAACCCTCCCGGGATAGGAAAACTCAGAGCATCAGAAGGAAAATCTCTGCCCCCAGGGGAAAGAGATACAGAAATTTCCAGCACACTAGACAGACAGGACCCGGGCTTTCCCTGGAGTTCGCCGGTATCACTAGGTGTGCAGACAATGCCAATTCTAGGGTCAGAGTCCAGATGCCACTGCCCCAGAGCTGTATCAGCTCAGAGACCTTTCTGTTTTTCTTTTCTTGGGGGTGGGGGGTAGGGGGGTTGGGTGTTGCTAAGGGGAAGCAGAAAAGGAGGTGATAAGCTTTTGGAGATTTGCTAAGTAAGTAACGCTCCTTCTTAAGTCAATTAAAGGGGGGGAAGTGCCCCCAAAACAAAAAATTACTGCATTTGCCAGCCAGAACTATGACCTCTGCACTCAGTTATGTTGCAAATATGCAGAGAATCAGGACCAAGAGTTGTCTACCCATGTGCAGCCCTCCAGTTTCCTGCACTTACCCAACAGCACTGCGTATATACTGCACAAAGAAGAACTGCACAAATAAGGGTTAGCAACTAGTTTTGAAGTGTTTACAGTCTAGAAGTTTGGCACTTCTGTAGAGCCGGTTAGGCAAAGTACCACAGACAGCTTCAAAGATGGAGGGAGATGCTTGATCCTTTCTCTGGAAAAGTACCCAGGCTCATATTGTCCCCTAGGCTTCACAGTGAGTTTGTAAAAAAGGGAGTCACTCTGGCTCACAGACTGAAGGAATTGCCTGGGTTTGTTTTTTTTTTAAAGATTTTATTTATTTATTTGAGACAGAGAGAATGAGAGAGAGAGCACATGAGAGGGAGGAGGGTCAGAGGGAGAAGCAGACTCCCTGCCGAGCAGGGAGCCCGATGCAGGACTCGATCCCAGGACTCCAGGATCATGACCTGAGCCGAAGGCAGTCGCTTAACCAACTGAGCCACCCAGGCGCCTGGGAATTGCCTGGGTTTGAATCCTGACTCCACCATTTTCTGCGTGACAAATTGCCCAATCGCTCTGTGCCTCAGTATTCTCATCTGTAACAAGGGGATGATAAAAGTACCTGCCTTACAGGATTGTCAAGGGGATTAAAAGATTACCAGTATCTACGCTGTAATAGACTCACACGTACTACGCCAGATTTCAATTTCTTGTGTGACCTAACTGTTCCCCGGAGCTAATTAATTTACAGAAAAGAACTTCTTTGAGCACCCATTCAACTTTTAAGTCCTGCCATTCATTAAAGGTCTCAGGCTTTCTCTACATACCAGCAGTGAGGATTTTATTTATTGCATTATAATAGGAAGGGGTGGGGTGAGACAAACATAGATCCTTTACTTGCTTTTGGTTCCTTTGAAGAAACATTCCCCATCATTCCCCCTTGCAAATGCCAGCAGCAGACTCCAAATGTCTTCTACAGGACAGAGATAGTAATCTTGAGGCTCATCCCCTGAGAAAAGTATCCCAGTCCTAGCAGCACCCCTCCCTGGGAACTTCTTTCTGGCAACAGATAGGAGTGAGTTAACAGATGGGGCCATGAAGGAGGGCAACCTGTGGGCTGGCATTAGATAAAAGGGTGGGTGGGGGCTAATTAAATGGACCTGGTCATCTGACTATACTCCTCCCATGCTTTGTACCTTTCAGTTTGGTATCACTGTATATGCAGGAGACTTACTCTACTTTAGTCCCATTTTGTTAAGGAATAGAAAAATAAAGATCACTTAGAAGCTATGGAACACATTATTGATAGAGTAGAATCTAGGCTGTTCCAGCCATTTTTCAACTGATTTTCTTTCTGGGTTGTTGGTTTTGGGGTTTCATTTGTTTTTTCCATGTAGCACCCCATCTTCTAAAACAAGATCTCAACTTCAATAATGAAAACGTAAAGAAAGAAATCCACGGGACAAAACAAAGAATACCATTCTCTAGATAAAATGACAGGGAAAGAGATTTGTTTTTCAGAAGGCACAGTCTGGAGGGAACATAAAAGTCGTCTCCTGCCTACAGGTTTTCAGCGGGGCTTGTGCCCAGAGCCTGTTTTTCTCTTGTCTCTGACAGTCCTGATCTTCTCTGCGTTTGATTTACTGAGTGCTGTCATTTCTCTGCTCTTTACTTTCACAATCACACATTCAAACCTGATAAAGTTCAAGACCCTGAATACTTGCAGCTTTCCCAGATTTACAGCCCCCCCTGCTCCCCACCCCGGCCAGCAGCCCTGAGCCTGATTGAATCCTCATGGACAGATGCCTTGGGGGATCAGCAGAGAGCCAGCCCGTCCGAGAGGGCTGGGTCCATGGGAATGATAGTGCCCATACCAGCTCTGTTAGCCAAAGCAACCCTCCGTCTCTTCCTTCCCCTAGAAAAGGATTGGCAACATCCTCTCAGTTTAGTTGAGTTTCAACTTCCAGTTTGTAACCTGCCCATGGGCAGGTACAGGAACTATAACTTGCAAAATTTAAAATTGGTGAGAGTTGAGTGCAAAATCATGATCGGCTTGCATCAGTGCCTGATTTGCCCGGATCTCCTAAACAGCTGTGTGAACAAGGGCAAGCCACTTAACCTCTTAGTGCCTCAGTTGCTCCATCCATAAAATGGTAGAAATATTACTTTCTACAAACATTAATCACAAACTAATGACTTGGGCTGTCCTCCCTGCATGTAGCTCTGTCCGGACCCCAGGAAAGACTGCCAGCACATGTCTGATCTGGCTTTTTGGATTCTGTCAGGTTAAATACAAACCTACAAGTAAATCTAAATACTGTACCAATGGGCTAAACAAAAGGAATGATTCATCTCCAAAGACTGAACAGTTAACTCAAGCTCAAGTCTGCAAACCACTGAAACGTCTTCAAATGGAAGATGCTATCTAAATAACCTATTCTTGGGGCATCTGGGTGGCTCAGTTGTTAAGTGTCTGCCTTCGGCTCAGGTCATGATCCCAGGGTCCTGGGATCGAGCCCCGCATTGGGCTCCCTGCTCCGCGGGAAGCCTGCTTCTCCCTCTCTCACTCCCCCCTGCTTGTGTTCCCTCTCTCACTGTCTCTCTCTGTCAAATAAACAAAATCTTAAGTAAATAAATAAATAAATAAATAACCTATTCTTTGTCTATAAATATATAATAAGTCAACCTAAGTCACAGGACATTGATGAAAAGCAACCACTGATGATGAATATTCTTATTTACAATCTGGTTAACTATATAGGGACTTCACATTTACTAAATTATTTTTACACGACTTAATATTTTCATTTTTCTTGAACTCTCAGAATTTTAGGCAGTAATGGTTTAAGTAGGTCTTTAAGAAAAATCACTGTTCCAAATCCATGAACTGCAAGAAGTGTGATTTTTTTCCCTTTTATTTATTTTTTTTCCTAAAGATTTTTTATTTATTTATTTGACAGAGAGAGACAGAGCGAGAGAGGGAACACAAGCAGGGGCAGTGGGAGAGGGAGAAGCAGGCTTCCCGCAGAGCAGGGAGCCCCATGTGGGGCTCGATTCCAGGACCCTGAGATCATGACCTGAGCCGAAGGCAGACACTTAACGACTGAGCCACCCAGGCGCCCTTCTAAAAATTCATTTTCTAAAGAAAGCTGAACTGTCGTAATATCTAAAGGGAAAATTGTACTCACCTGTTAGGGAAGCAAGCAGAATTGTTCCCTACCTTCTTCAGAAGGTTCTTTTTTATTCTCCCAACCTAGCCAGTCAGGAGACACCCATTAGAATATATTATAATGTTGCTTTTTCTGGACCATAATACTCACCTCTACAGAGGTGAATAAAAATAGCAGCTTGACTTAATGGATATCAAATAACTTTTTCTGGCTACTCCTAAACCAGATTACTGCTCTGTTTATAATACCACAAATTAAAGGCATGCAATTATCCAACAAAAACAGTGTGAATATTACACCATTTTTAAAGACTGACTACCACATAGCCAGTGCCCAGCAGACTCCAGCCAAAAACCACAGTGTGGGTCCGCAAATAAAGCTGTCAACCTTTGCATTTCGAAGGCATCTTTTTGTAAAGAGCTCAGCATGCTCTGGGCCAAAGTGAACCGGCTTTGGTTAAGTAGGACAGAGCCTACCCAGTGGTTGAGCAGGTGGGCCCAAGGCAGAATATCCAAGGAAGAATATATCCATGCTTTAGCACTGTGGCTGGACTAAGCACCCATGTGGAGGTTGGGAGCATGAATCTCTGGATTCAAGTCCCAGCTCTTCAGCTTGCTCTCTGGTTG